AAAGTTACTTTTCTTACTACTTAAGGAATTTTTATGTAGTTGGGAGTCTGTGAAATACAAAAATACCAACAGAAAAATGGACACAAACACACAATTCACAAATGAATGGGTCTCAGCTAAAATAAGTACATAGTGACCTCAGTTATCAAGTATCAAGTATGGAGGGGTACAGACTAGGTCATTAACAGAGGCTGTCTTTAGGTTGGGAGTTGTGGATAATATTTACTTTCTTTGTTTATATTTGGATTCTAGGGTTTTCCTACAATGAACATGGACAATTTTGGTAAGCAGTTATTAAGTAAAAAACTAAGTTCAGAACACTGTGGGAAATGTGAAATATGGAAACAACCTCTTCCCCCTCAAGGAACTTTTCCTAGTGCTACAGGAATGTCTGGTTAATGGCTTCTAAGTAATTTACCACTAGCATTGTTCAGGAAATACAATAAGATGAGAAGAATGGATTCTTAAAAAGCTTATGACACATCATGAAAAAACTAGAAAAAACACCCACTACTTATTTAATTTTTTGATACAAAAGGAGGGTTCTTTTCTCAAATGATCTGATTTATACTTATGCAAAGTTTCCTTATAAAAACTTAATTCTGCCAATAAGGGCATAAAGTTAATGCATAGTCAAATTTGTTAAGTATTTTATTTCTTCTGAAAACATAAGGCCTAAAATGTTTCGTTATATATTCTTTTATCTTTCCTAAGATAAAATATAACTCTCCTCCCATTTTTTTTATCACAGCTTTTAAATCTACAAGTGAAGGTCTCTTTTGTGCAAAATTACGGTTTTTCTTTAGCTGTATTTTCATCTGCTTCCTCTGACAGAAATTCAGTGTGAGAAAGGATTTCTGAGATAATTTGATATCCTCCCCCCTTGACTGAGAGATGAGGGCTAAGGCCCACAGAGGTTCAATTAGGACAGTCAAGCTAAAAATAACCCAGGCTAGCATAGTTTATTACTTCTTTAGACTCGTTCTCATTTCAATTTTATACTCATAAACCAGAAGAGTTCTTTAACATTAAACAGTAGCTTGACTTAAGTGTTCAATTTAGTACTTAAATAGTGTCTCCCGTCAGAACACGCCAGGGATCCTTCCATCCAGCTGATGCTACAGTGAGGGCCTAGTGTGTGTGACTGGGTATGACTGCTGAACCTCGATGGCTTTTGTCACAGCTCAGCCACCACCCCAGGGAAACATGAGGCAGAGAACTCCAATATCTTGATTATATATACACTCTCAGGCAGCACTGGTATACTAAATGCCATCGTTAATTTCCAAAAGAATCACAGACTTATAGCTTAGGTTTAAGAGTAAGAAAGTAACTCAGATTTTGGACATTCTTCTGAATAGCAGAGGATCCATTACAGTGCAGAAGGGATACATCTTTAGGTCACCAGGATAACCCTCAGTGCCCCCTATCTGGCAGACTACAAGCTCCTTGAAGGCAGACTACAAACTCTACTTTCTTAGTTTTTCTTTGTTTCCCTAGTGCCTAGCAGACTTCCTGGCATGGAGCCAGCACTCAGCGAATTATGTTAAAGTGAGGTGGTAAGAACAGATGGGAAAGATCTCCAGAGAGTGAGTGTGCCTGTAACCAATGCTCTATGAGATAATAGCTTTGTGCTGACCCTGAAATGTCCCAGATACATACAGAGTTCTACTTACACAATAAAGTCATTACTTTCTAAAGTAATTATTTTGGTGATTATTGGCTATTTTCTCTAATAAAGAAATAGGAAAAATAATAAATAATTTTTAATTTACCCAAGCCCCAGAGCTTTACATCTGAGGAAAAGGAAAAACAAACAAACAAACAAACAAACAAACAGCTTCTACACAGGGACCTGGGTTTGTAAATATGAAAGAAAATATTGTTGAAATGGGATATAACTGAGTGCAACCAAAATTTACTTTATGTTTTTCATATTGCTAGGAAAATGAAACAAAACAAAACAAAACAAAAGGTAAAAACTCTGAGAACAACTTCCCAGCTCCATTCTTAGCAATAGGCCAAAAACTGAGGCTACAAGGACCTCGAGATTTCTTATGAGAAACTGTAGTAAGAAAAATACAGTGACTCATCCCATAATAATGCCCCTTCTTCCCAAAGTACACATCACAATTCCCACATCCCTGGCATGTGGGCACTTGGTGCAGATCTATTGCAACACAGAGCATCCCGCTGCACCAGTGCCCCTTGGTGGGCGAGAGAGATGCTGATATTAGGGTAACAGACCTCCCTGGTGCTGGGGGAAGGCTATTAGCGGGTGGCATGGTTGCACTCGTTCTGCCTCCCAAAGGAGAGGGCTTACTCCCCTTGTACTGCTTGATCTGGATCAGCAGTTCTTTTGTGTAGCCACCTTTAAGAACTGGGGAGCTGGGTACAGCTTCTGTACAGGATCAAAGAATCCCCTGGCAGAGCAGTTCTGAATAGGCACCCCCAGGATCACCTAACCAACAGTCATTCAGACACTGAGGAACCAAACCGGGGGGGAAAAGATGAAAGAAAAGGAATCTACTACTCACGGCACAAGCAAGGTTCCCAGGCTGTTGCTCGGGTACTGGCTCACTCCCCCATCACTTCTGGGGCCATAGAGAACTAAGTTCAGTGAACAGTTAGAGGAAAATAACTGCTGTTTCTTGACAAAAACGTATCTCCAATACAGTATTTAGGAAGCCAATTTCCCAGGCCTTCCCAGTCAAATAGTCCTGGAGAAAAATTACCAAGAGAAATGAGACGGATCCTGCCCTTTGGCGAATATCAGTGTAAACTGATAAAGAATCCAAAGCTTTCTGGAAGTTCAAGGAATATTCACAGAGGAGCCAGATAACACTGGCTTTGGGCATCTGAAGTATATATCAAGGACTATGCACGCCTTCTCTCAGACAGAAGGCAATTCTTGGAAGGAAGGATGGTTTATTGACCCTCAAATGGCTGAGACAGGTGGGCTCCTCAGAGATCAAACATGAATGAGGCTAAAGCTCCAAGGCACATGTGGTAGAGGGACCAAGTTGTCAGCTCGATGGGCAGTGTGCAGGAGGGTCCTTCTCCAGGCCTGGATATTTTACTGTTTCTGGGGGCGACAAGCTTGAGGAAGTGGTGGATGAGAGGCCTGTTAGGAGGGAAGGTGCACAGGTGGGCTGGCCAGCCCGAAGGGATGCACAGATCCTATGTCCAGGGAGGGAGCTGTGTAGTGCTGCTGAGCGTTAGCAGACTGCCACGTGTGTGGCTGGGACAGCGTGTATGTGAAGGCACAGAGGTGGGGAAAGAGCAGCTGAAGAGACAGAGACTGACCACATCTAAAGAGAGTCACTGAAAACAATGAACGAGCCTCATGATATAAATGTACTTTTCTTTATAAGCCGTTTTGGTTAACTCTGATAGTGTTATCACTAAACGTCAGAACATTCTGAAGAGAAGAAAATTGAACTGGCTTGTGTAAAAGGCTCAGACTAGACTAGTCAACTTTTCAGAATGAAAATGCTTAACCTTTAGGAAGTCCTCCAGATTATAGGATTTATTTGACAGCAGCTATAGCAAAATCAGGATCTGTATAAATACCAGTGCCCCAAAGGAGGATAACATTTCATTTGTATTGAGATGTTTTAATTCACCCTTAATAATTTAAGATATTATGTATTAATATTACATATCATATAAGATCTAATTTCTTCTTTTTTCCATCTGAAGCAATAACACTTCCTGGTACAGTTAATTGTTGTTTTCTTAAACCAAAGATCAATTTCTTCACTGCTCTGAGAATCACTTAAGTTATATTATATTAATTTGCCAACAGCATTACTATTTTTGTATTTATTAACTTACTGAGATAACTCTAACATCCTGGAAAAATCTCAAAGAATACACTTTTAATACTCTTCAACAAATTTGCTTCATTTATGTCATTTAATTGACAGATGAAGAAATAAGGGTCCCACTGGTTTTTCCAAAAGGCTCATCTCCAAATAAAAGCATTTCTGCTCTTTACTTTTCCTAGGTCTCTAATTCACCCTTCTAGTCTCTATCCGTTTATTTCAGATGAGGTAAGAATCTGGTTTTAGACCATGTGGGCCAAATGTCACATTTCATATGGATTAAAAAATAATAAACATAAGGGGTAATCTAATATTCCCATAAATTATTTTAGAAGCATCATAATCCTGTCACACTTCATGTCCAGCTTTCATGTCTCCTAGTTTTTTTCTTCTTTGTTAAAGTTCAAGTGATATATCCAAAAATATGAAAAAAAAAGTTTGCACCGAGGTAAGTTCAGAGAGAATGGACTGTGGCTGCAATGACACACACACACACACACACCCTCCAAGGAGACTCTCTCAAAGGCATATGTTAAGTTTACAAGGCACAGCTATAAGTTACAACATGAAGGGGTAGTTTTCTGTATCTATTTCTCTGAAGAGAGAACTCCAATGAAACACAAATGAAACAGGCAGGACCTGATGGAGCTTGAGACTTAGCCTGAGAAAGGAGAGAGAAAACAAACCCTATCGGCAAAGAAACAACACACTGGGGAAAAGTATGATTCTCATGAAAATGTCAGTGATTCACCATGGAATAAAATTCAAAGCCGCTGACCCCAATGAAAGCTTCCAGTGGAAATGTGGATTTTCCTTCATTTCATTTAAAGACCTTGCTTTATCTCATTTGAACATTATCATAAGCACCATCCCAGATTTTGTGATATGTTCCTTTCTCATTAAAACTGATACAAAAAAAAATGATATTAAAAGATACGGCTGATAAACTGAATTTTCAAGGGGACTTCAGGAAGAAAAAAACAAAAAACCAAAACAAAATAAACAAAACACATCAGTTAATATTATCATGCAAAAGAGGTAGGACATTTTTGGTCCCTTAAAACATTCATTGGGTGCTCAATGAATGGCCCAAGGATAACAGAAGACAATATTTTTTTCTATTTTTACAGTAAGTTTTAAGCAAATTTATTTATAGAATTTTTTTGTACATACCAATTCTTCATTCTGACTTGCCATAAGATCATGACTGAATGAAAGTTGACTTACACAGACCACAAATCTGTCAGGAAATACACGGAGCTCTGCACAAAATGAAAAAAATCAAGTTACTAAAGGCATCAAAAATCTCTGAACACAGAAATGCTTGTTCTCAGATTTTTAAGTTACAGCTAAAATATGTATATACATAAGACACATGTCTCCTCTCCTCGTCTCCTTTCAGTATTTGCCATCAGGAGGGCAGGGCAAGCACAGAGCTCTAAGGAGCAGTCAGGAGGTTGCAGATAGGTCCGCCTGAGCCCCTGGACCATTAGATTATATCCCATGAAACCCCCAGGCAGGGAAGGGCCCTTGCAGCCTTCCCTCTGTGACAGTTTGCTGTTTTCTGACCAGAACTCACATTTGGGAAATAGGATCAACGTTTCCTAACGAGTGTGCAGAATTATACAGAAAGAGGAAGACTATGGGATAAAATCTGAAAACGTGACTCATCAATGTTCTCACTAATTAGTTTACTTATCATCTCTTTAGTCAACTGGTCTTAGATGGGTCTGCTACACTGGAGGGCAAATGCCCAATCTGAATCAGGCAATGAAAGGAGAAGTGTGATTAATATGAATAATAAGAAGGAAATAGTAAAATATGCAAGAGCAAAGATGATATAATTACACCTCAGTCACATTACTCTATTATTACAACTTCTTTTATTTTTTTCTAACATTTATTTGTTTTTGAGAGAGAGAGAGAGACAGAGTGCAAGGAGGAGAGGGAGTCACAGAATCTGAAGCAGGCTCCAGGCTCTGAGCTGTCAGCACAGAGCCCTACGCAGGGCAGAACTCACAAATTGTGAGATCATGACCTGAGCCGAAGTCGGTCACCCAACTGATTGAGTCACCCGGGTGCCCCTATTATTACAACTTCTTAAAGCAAGAAGTGCTGGGTTGGGGGGAGGGCTGCAGGAATCTCAGAGCTGGACACCCCAACATTCAATGAAATAAGAATATAAGATGGTAAATGGCATCTGTATCTCTCCTCCTCTCATCTGTCTGTCCATCCATTCATGAATTCACTTATGTATGCAGCCTCCACCTATGTCTGGAGTGGTGTTTAGCTGATGCTAACAGTATATATTCTGGGTGGGAGGTAAGGATCTTCTCCTTTCTTTATACTTGGTTGTCTTGCTTTCATATTTTTCATAATACTTATATATCATATTTATAACACAAAGACATTTTTCTAAAAGAGAAAACTTCCCTCTTAGATATGACCAACATTTTTAAAGAGGGATATTATGAATCAAATAAGTGAAGCTTTTCACATACTTTGCTCATTTCCAACAATGAATGACAATGTGAGGGACTGACTGATAGAAGCTAAGCATGAAGGTAGTGGTTACATATACACACAACTTAAACACAGTTAACACCACACCACCTGGCTAGGTTAAATTACACCAAAGGCCTAATGAGTTGATGTTTCAGTAATAGCCATCTCCTTACCTCTCCCCTGGACCACTGCTGTTTCCTTGGTGATCACTCTTCCCTATTCTAATTCATCCTACTCAGTGCAAGCAGGTTAACAGTTCTAAAAAAATATTTCCACTTATCCTGCTCAAAACCCCATTGTGGATCCTCAGTACCCATCACATGATGGGCAAACTTCAAAGCCCTCCATGAGTGGGGTCTAACCTGTCCTTCTGGTCTCACTCCCACCAGTCCTCCTCATGTAGAAATCTCCATTTCAGAGGGCCTGAGTGTGTTGAAACTTCGACCCCTCTTAGATGTTCTATCTCGTAAGAGACTAGGGACAGACTTAAAAACAAACAAAAAAATAATAATAATAAAGTCATTAATATTTATTCATTAATTCTTAAAATTTCTTATTGAAGTAAGTGATAAGTAGTCTGCTTCCCACTTTCTGGAAGGGGGAACTAAACCCCGCCAGCCAAAAATCATGACATTGAAATACTAGCGGATCAGAATTTAAATTAAAAATGATCAGTTTGGGGTGCCTGGGTAGCTCAGTCGGTTAAGCATCTGACTTCGGCTCAGGTCATGATCTCGCGATTTGTGAGTTCGAGCCCTGTGTCGGGCTCTGTGCTGACAGCTCAGAGCCTGGAGCCTGCTTTGGATTCTGTGTCTCCTCCTCTCTCTGCCCCTCCCACGCTCATGCTCTGTCTCTCTCTGTCTCTCGATAATAAATGTTTAAAAAAAATTTTTTTTTTAAAATAAAAATGATCAGTTCTATTCAATAATTTCTCTGTTTTGTCCTTCCATTTCTTCCTCTGAAAAGTAACAATACTAGAATGATGAATTTTGAACATTTTGGAGCCAGGTATTATATAAACAGAAAGCAACCTCTGTACACTTCTTCTTTGCTTAAGTCATAAGTGAAACTTTTATCATTTTAATATTTAAATAAAGATTTAGGCAATAGCAATCTTTACCATACAGATAGCCTTCATTTTAACAGACAGATACCAGGTTAAGTGGCTTATTTTACTAAGAGAATTGAAGAAAGTGGAAAGCCCCAGTAAGAGAGTAATATACTTGAGTGACACTTAAAGTTTAAAAAGTGTAGATAATTGTGAAGATTCCAAGAGCAAACCTCCATACAGTTTATTTTCAAAGTCCTTGTTTCATATCTTATATATTAAAGTCATCCAAGGAAGTTCAGTTAGAGTTTCTTTCCAATGTTCAGATCAGCTTGGAGAATTGTCATTAGCATCTGACTTTATTGTTGTTGGCTGGACGTGTTTGACATCATTTCCTCAGCAGACATCTTGACTTGGGGAAAGGAGGGGGGGAAGCTGGCCTTGTCACACACCTAAGAAAGGCTCTGACAGCTCTGGGCTGGGAAAGCATTTTCTCGTGTACACACTTGCTCTGTATCCCAGGGACTGTGTGTGCATAAAGATGAAGTGATTCATGGTGTAACTGCCTGTCAAATCATTCTGGAAGCTCAATGAAAGTGCTGAGATGCAGCAGGAAAGTAAAGCCTGATGTGGCCCAGCTCACAGTTCTCAGACAGGCAGTAAAACAGTGAAAATTGAAAAAAAAAAAATCACAAATGTTTAGAAATACTCTCAATCAGTATTTCAATTTTACAAAGGCAACGAAGAAAGTTGTAATATTCATTCCTTAATTTTCATTCCTTCTCTAGGACAAGCTAATAGTGCAAAATGATTGACAACCCAAGATATCAGCTTCTTACCAGTATTCTGTGAACTTCTGAAACAGTGGAGGCGTATCCCTCTCTTGAGAAAATAGGCTGTGATTTGAAAGCCATAACCTATAAGGTAAAAGAGGGTATCATTAGATTACAAGTTTGTTTGCCACTAAATCCCACAGCCCTCCCTAGTGCCTACCATGTAGTATGTGTTCAATAATTATTTAACAAATGAAAGATTAAAAAGAATCAATAGAGGGATTCACATGAGAGAAAGGGGTAAATATTACACTATGAGCTCTTCTAGGAGGACTGGCCAGAGCACCTGGTTGGGATTGTCTCCAGTGCCTTAAGTGGCTCAGTTACTTTATCTGTTACAATGAATTCAACCAAGAATTCTCTACCCAGCAAGATTATCATTCCAAACTGTAGGAGAGATTAAGAGCTTTCCAGAAAAGCAAAAGCTAAAAGAATTCACCACCCCTAATCCGGCCGTACAAGAAATGCTAACAGGCCTTCTTTAAGCCCAAGAGAAATGGCACTATTAATTATAACAACAACAAAAAACATATATTAAAGTAAAAATCTCACTGGAAAAGTAAAATATATAACACAGGTAGTGGAGCAAGCACTTACAAAGCAAGCATGAAGGTTAAAAGACAAAGGTAGTAAATTTCCCTCAAATTACAATAATTAGTTACAGGCAGCAGAAAATGTAAAGATGTAAAATGTGTCATCAAATATATAAAGCATGGGAAAGGAGTAATACAGTAAAGTTTTGGAACGTATTTAAAATTAAGTTGCTATCAACTTAAAACAGACTGCTATTTACATATGACATTTTATGTGAACCTTGTGGTAACCATGAGGAAAAAATACATAATAAATACAAAAAGAAAATGAGAAAAGAATCTAAAGATAACACTAAAGAAAGCCATCAAACCAAAAAAGAAGAGGAAAGAGAAGAAAGGAATAGAGAGGAACTACAAAAACAACCAGAAAATAATTAACAAAATGGCAATAAGCATATACTTATCAATAATTACTTTAAATGTAAATGGTCTAAAATCACCAGTCAAAAGACACAGAGTGCTAAATGGATAACAAACAAACAATCAAAAAACAACAACAAGACCCATCTATATGCGCCTACAAGATATTCACTTCAGAAGTAAGAACACAGACTGAAAGTGAGGGATGGAAAAAGGTATTCCAGGCAAATGGAAATGAAAAGAATGCTGGAGTAGGTATACTCAGATAAAACAACATAAACTTTAAAACAAAGACTGTAATAAAAAAACAAAAGAAGGCATTACATAAAGATGTCAATCCAACAAGAAAATGTAACATTTATAAATATATATGCACCATACAAAGCAAACACTAACAGACCTAAAGGGAGAAATTGAAACCAATACAGTAATACCAGGAGACTTTAATACCCCACTTTCATCAATGGATAGATGATGCATCCAGACAACATCAACAAAAAATTAAAACAGAAACATCAGCTTTAAATAACACGTTAGACCAGACAGACTTAATAGATATATACACTCTATCCAAAAGAATACACATTCTTCTCAAGCGATCATGGAACATACTCCAGGACAGATCACAAGTTGGGCCACAAAACAAATCTCAATAATTTCAAGAAAACTGAAATCATATCAAGCATCTCTTCCAACCACAATGGTATAAAACTAGAAATTCATTAGAAGAAATAAGAAAAAATATAAAAATATAAAGATTAAACAACCAATGGGTCATTGAAGGAACCAAAGGGGAAATTAAAAAATAATCTACAACCAGTAAAAATAAAAACAGGACATACCAAAATACATAGGATGCAGCAAACGCAGTTCCATGAGGGAAATTCATACCTCAAGAAATAAACAAACAACTCAAATAAACAATCTAGCTCTGCAACTAAAGAATGAGGAAAGAAGAACAAGCAAGACCCTAAATTTACAGAAGAAAGGAAATAATGATGACTAGAAGAGAAATAGACACTAAAAAGACAATAGAAAAAAATCAATGAAGAAAGAGCTAGTTCTTTGAAAAGATAAATGATACCGAAAAATCTTAGCTAGACTTGCCAAGAAAAAAGACAGAAGAGAACTCAAATAAAATCAGAGATGTTACAACCAATACCGCAGAAATACAAAGGGTTGTAAGAAACTGCTATGAAAAATTATATGCCAAAAAACTGTACAACCTTGAAGAAATGAATAAATTCCTAGAAACCTACAATCTCCCAAGATTGCATAATGAAGAAATAGAAAATCTAAATACACCAATTACTAGTAAGGAGATTGAAAGCGTACTGAAAAACCTCCCAACAACAAAAGTCCAGGACCAGATGGCTTCACTGGAGAATTCTACTAAACATTCAAAGAAAATTTAACACCTATCCTTTTCAACTCTTCCAAAAACTGAAGGAGGGAAAGCTTCCAAACATATTTTACAAGGTGAGCATTACCCTGATACCAAAACCAGAGCAAGGGCTCCACAAAAAAAGAAAATTAAAAGCAATATCCTTGGGGCACCAAAGGTGGCTCAGTCAGTTGAGCATCCAACTCTTGATTTTGGTTCAGGTCAAGATCCCAGGGTTGTGGGATGGAGCCCCGCATTGGGTTCTGCAGTAAGCAAAGATCCTGCTTGGGATTCTCTCTCTCTCTCTCTCCCTCTGCCCCTCTCCCCTAAGGCATGCACATTCTCTCTAACAAAACCCTCAATATCCTGGATGAACACAGATCCCCAAATCCACAACAAATATTAGCAAAACAAATCCAACAATACATTAAAAGAATCATACACCATGATCAAGTGAGATTTATTCCAGTGATGCCAGGATGGTCCAACATCTGCAAGTCAATCAACACTGAACATCACATTAACAAAATTAAAGATAAAATCACACAATCATCTCAAAAGATGTGGGGAAAAAGAATATCTGACAAAATGCAACACCCATCTAGGATAAAAACTCTCGGTAAGTGGGTATGGAGGAAATATACCTCAGTGTAATCAAAACCACATATGACAATCCTATAGCTAACATCACACTTAATGGTGAAAAGCTGAAAGCTCTAACATCAGAACCAAGACAAGGATGCCCACCCTCACCACTTTTATTCAACATAGTCTCAGAAGTCCTAGCCATAGCAATTAGGGAAGAAAAATAAATAAAAGGCATCCAAATCAGAAAAGAGGTAAAACTGTCTCTATTTGTAGATGACATGATACTATATATAGAAAACTCTACAGAATTCACCAAAAAAACCTGTTAGAACCAATGAATTCATTCAAGTTGCAGGACACAAAATCAATATACAAAAATCTGTGGTATTTCTATACATAACTAACAAAACATTAGAAAAAGAAATTTAGAAAACAATCCCATTTACAACTGCATCAGAAAAAGAGTAAAATACTTAGTAATAAATTTAAGGAGATGAAAGACTTGAACACTGATAACTATAAGACACTGACAAAAGAAATTGAAGAAGATACAAATAAATGGAAAAATATTCTGTGTTCATGGATTGGAATTAATATGGTGAAAATGCCTATACTACCCAACATAATCTACAGATTAATGGCAACACCTATCAAAATTCCAGTGGCATACTTCACAGACCTAGAATAAACAATTCTAAAATTTGTATGGAACCAAAAAAGATGCCAAATAGCCAAAGTAATCTCGAGAAAGAAGAAAAAAGCTGGAGGTATCACACTTTCTGATTTCAAACTATACTACAAAGCTGTAGTAAATCAAAACATTATGGTATCAGTACAAAAACAGACACACAGACCAATGAAACAGAATAGAGAGCCCAGAAATAACCCACACTTATATGGACAGTTAGTCTATGACAAACAAGCCAAGGGCATACAATAGAGAAAGGATGGTCTCTTCAGTAATGATGTTGGAAAAATCGGACAGCCACATGCGAAAGAATAAAACTAGACCACTATTTTATACCATGCACAAAAATTAACTCAAAATGCATTAAAGACTTGAATGTTAAGACCTGAAACCATAAAATGCCTTGAAGAAAATATAAACTCCTTGACATCAGTCTTAGCAACATCCTTGTGGATCTGACTACAAAGACAAGGGAAACAAAAGTGAAAGTACACAAATAGGGCTACATCAAGCTTAAAACCTTCTACCCAACAAAGGAACCATCAACAAAATGAACAGGCAACCCACTAAATGGAAGCAGATTTTTGCAAACTATATATCTGATAAGGAGTTAATATCCAAAATACATAAAGAATTCATACAACTTGACAACAACAAATCAACCAACCTGATTTAAAAATGGGCAGAAGATTTGAATCAACATTTCTCCAAAGAAGATATACAGATGACCAACAGGCACATGCAAAGGTGCTCAACACCAATTATTAGGAAAATGCATATTAAAACCACAATAAGAAAACACCTCACATCTGTTAGAATGGCTACTAAAAAACAAACAAACGAACAAAAACAAGAAATTACAAATGTTAGTGAGGATGTGGAGAAAATGGAAACTTTGTGCACTGTTGGTGAGAATGTAAACTGGTGTAGCCACTATGGAAATTATAGTGGCCTCAAAAAACTAAGAACAGAACTACTGTATGACCCCTCAATTCCACTCTGAAATATTTATCCAAAGAATATGAAAACACTAATTCAAAAAGATACATGCACCACTATGTTTACTGCAGCATTACTTACAATAGCCAAGATATGGAAACAGTCTACGTGCTTATTGACAGATGGATGGATAAAGAGGATGTGGTACATTTATACAATGGACTACTCAAACATAAAAAATAATGAAATCTTGCCATTTACGACAACACAGGTGGCCCTTGAAGATATTAGGCTAAATGAAGTAAGGCAGAGAAAGACAAATACTGTATTATTTCACTCATACATGGAGTCTGAAAAACCAAACAAATGAACAAACAAAACAACAAGAGTAGTGGTTATGGGGCGGAGTGGGGGAGTGAAATGGGTCAAGAGGGTTAACTAGACAGTGACAGATGTTAAACAAACTTCGTAGTGTATACAGATATCGAGTTATAAAGATGTACACCTGAAACTTACATTTAAAGGGAAGGGG